CATGATATGAGAAAATATAACTACTACAAAGACAACATAATTTGTAAAAATATATTGACAAATAGACCAACTCTCTGAGTCATCCTAAAGATGAGTAAATAACAATCCTGTAAACACAATCATGGGAATAGCTCACTCATTTCTTATGACAACTCCAGCGATAAAAAATACAGCATTTCTTATTTACCCAGGCTGTTGATGGAGAACCTCATGCACATGTTAAACAGTATGACTTGAAATAATAATCAAGGTTGATGAAAAACTTCAATCCTTATCCTTTTTATTCTTCATAGTCTTTGCATATTCTGTCTAATATTGAAAATATTAACAGTATCTATTTGGGCAGAGTATCTTTAGGCAACCAGACAACTGACAATCTAATTCTAACCATAAAAAATATCTACATTAGCCTAAATATATTTGAGTCTGAAAACCACACCCTCATCATCTTCCTAACTTGAATCTTGAATACACACTGCATTTCTAAACAGAAAATAAATTTAAATCCATTGTTACTACAGGTCTACGTGGACTGAACTGACATTTCTTCTCTACCCTTTGCATGGCACACTTTCCCATTCCAGAATTGCAATTCAATTGCTATTAAGGACTCTCAAGACCTAGATCTCCCAGATTTGGAAACCAATTATATTGACCTGAATCTAAGTGCTAGAGTGGAAAGACTCTTTAGAGTACAGGGTAAAAAGGGGCCTAAACTCACTGTCTCTTTCGTGATCTAAGAGACTAGAGATAAAAGTTACCTCTTGCCCTTTTCTTTAGAAGTCTGTAACAAGTTCAGAAAAAAAGAACTCCTCTTCCCCAGTGTTCTCTCAGTATCCCTTAACCCTATACCAAACCAGGCACCTTCTTGAAAGGGTAGGTGTCACAATCTGGAAAACATTGTAGAAAGCTTCACCTATGAAGGATTTCCCACCACTCAAAATCAGTTATCCAAATAGCCAGTGGAACTGAGGCAGAAATAGATAAAGATTAATTGGGAGCATGTTGATTTCCTGTTTCCCTGTCTTTATGAGAATTCCAAAAGTTGTCAATATACATAATTTAAAAAAATATAAAAACATAAAAATACTGAAAAAAATCTGGAGAGTCAGCTACACCATACTTCAAACCAATAGCCACACCATATCATTTCAAAAACACCATCCAGAACAAAACAGAATGGGTGTTCCCCTCAAGAAAAAAATATCTCTCCTCTGTGGAAATCCTCTTCTTTGAAGAGAAAAAGAATGTATATTTTGAGCACAGATGTGAAGGTAGTTTAAGCAACCAGAGTGAAGTAATTTCCAGCGGTCCCCTCCGACCCACCCTATTCTATGAATATATGATTCACTTTATCATTTAATCCTTTGCTTTTATCATTTTCTATTGAAATATTCCAAAACTCTAAAAAAGCACAAGAAGGAGAAACTATTCTCATGGAAGAAGAATATATTTCAAGGATACTATAAAACAGGCATTCAATAAAGAGAGAAATGGTGAGAGAAAACAGAGCACAGTATATCTCCTTTACAGTACCTGCTAATCCTTTTGTAGCTCTTTATAAAACTCACTTATTAAAAAAGAACAAGCCACTTGGGAATGAACTGTTTGCCTCCAAACTCTTCCTCACCCAAGGCACCTCTGCTTTTAAGAAGTCCTGGAATGACATCTAAGCTTTCAGAATATTGAGAAATTGGAGTAGGAAAAAAAAAAATCATTCTTTCACACCCGGGAAACTGTTGCTCTTCATCAGCAAATCTGCCATCCCTGTTGACACTTCTCTTGAAATATATGAATGCAGAAAACATTTTAGAAGTTTCACTTCTATAGCAATCACAATAGATGGCAAGGCACAATGGTTAGAGGAAGATGTAAACAAAGCTGAGCTTCCTTATGATTGCCAGAAATTGTTCCTAGCTTTCCTGAGGCAACATGTCAATAAATTCAATCTGCTTCAATTAATATACCTATTCTATTACATCTGGAATGTTACTTGCAAAACAGAATTGCAAACAAAATGGCAAATGGCTTTTTCCCTCAAAAGGTCATTTTCTTTTTTTCCCCCAGTACCTTTACAAGGCAGTTGTGATTTCATTAACACTGCTCATTCTGTTCTTCAGTCTTTGGGACAACAAAAGAATGTGAGACAGAAAGTGATCAAGTCTCTTGTTGGAATAGAATACCTCCCTTGTCTTTAAAATAAATATAATAGCACTAATGGCAGGAATCTGCCATGCTATTTTGTCATGCTCTACTGTTTCCTCATTAGCAGAAAAAAGGTTTAATTAGGAAAGTTATTTCAGTACATGTATAGGAACTGTAGGGAAAGGAGAGTAGGATGCCCATGCCTCCCCCTGTATGAAGTGTACTACATCTACAATCCCCTTGCTTAATTCCTGTAAGGGTTTTAAGTCACTGCAATGCAGAATTGAGGCTGACACCTGCTTCATATAGAAAATGACAGGACACTAGATAATAAAAGATTTGACATTCCTTTAAGCTTTCATCCTGTTACTCCTGAAAGTACTCCTAAATGTACTTTAAATAGAAAATATCTTGTAATCCTATACAAGATACCTCAAGTATTTATGATACAGAACCAGATGCAATCTAACCTTACAATCATCTAATAAACATGTTCTACTGAGAAAGAATGCCAAATCTCTCACTGCAACGGTCCTTCTATGGTTCTGGAGCCTTTTACATACAACTATCATGAAGACCAAACTGAACAAACTATATGGAAGGCGAGGTTTGTGGTACCTTTCAACTGCCATGTCAGATGAAGAATGCCATCTCTGAACTCACCCAAGCACACAGAACAAGGTCTGCCTGACTTGTGGAGTATCATACACAAACACTGGACCAATGTGCTCTTTGGTCTTAGCAAGAAGATAAAACGTATGAGAGCACCTGAGATTATCCACACCCATCCCATTACATGATGGCCTGAACTGCTTGGGCTGATACAGATGAGAGACCTTTGTCTGTGGCTAAAGGGAAAGCATTTTGTATTATTCTTGTGCATCTTGCAGCACTGCAGATATACATGGTGCTCTAAGCCAAATGAGCACCTAAATGGTGTCAGCAAGCTTCGCTTCCTAAGCATTGGCAAAAACCAGCTCTGACTCGAGTACACAGAAAAGGACTCACAGGAGAGGTAAAAATGGGCTATTTAAAAACATATATCTTGCATCCAACACAGAAAGATGGAGGAATGTTATATTTTTCTACCATTTTGGAGAGAACTAGTCAGAACAATATTGGAATGCAATTTTTTGTATTATGTTAAGGCCAGTAATTTGAGATCTAATTTAACTGATGTATGAGACTCATGGTTGCAAAAAGCATCAGTAACAAAAATGCAAAACCAAAAATTTGCAGAGCTCTTGTTCTTAGAAGGAGAAGTGTACAATTTTGAACAGACAGGAAACATGCCTAATGGGTTAGCTGTTCAATTATACAAGTTTTAAAATTATGACTGAGAAAGAAGGTGATTCTTTTGAATTAGTAAAAGTATCAACTGACTCTTTCCTGTCAGAGGCATTTGGACACCATCAACCAAAACAGCAAGCCAAACAGAAAGCAGAACTGAACAGCAGGATGTATATTCCACAAAAGCAACTATCTCCACTGCAACACTGAAGTACTTCACGCCACACCTTTATTAAACAAAATTCAAACTACAGTAATTTATGTAGTATGATAATCCAACTAGTCTTTATCTAAGAAGTTATTAGATCACTGATTTTAAAGAAAGAAAATTATATTGCAGTAAAGTATTCTCTTTGGTCCTTAACTTTTCTTTTTTTTCACCAACATTTTTCATCTCTACTCTTATTTTCTCATTCTTCCTCCACACTCATGGAGTTTTTTCTTTGCTACAACAAATCTTCATTCTTTTAGAATCTGTCTTTTTTTAAAATCCTGCTTACAGTTTAATATAAAAGAGTCCTATGATTGCTCTGTTATGTATCATTTACTGTAAGAGCCTCAATGGACAACATTCTCTTAAACTATTCAGTGCTATCATCAAGTTAGTAAATGAAAAGCCTTTCATTTTATAAAATTAAGAACAGAGTCTTAATATCAAAGGTGCTTAAGAATATCCAGGGAAATAGCTTCTCCCTAAACATACAAACATGCTAGAAAGAAGATACCTACTGGCAAATATGTCTTTTTAATAGTGAACAAGTTTTACAAGGATGTGTTTTGAAAATAAAGTGTTTTTCATTCTTTGTTGCTGAGACTGCCAGATCTGTCAATGTTATTAGCACAAAACAGTTGTTCATCTGACTGCTAATGCAGCAACTGATACACCAACTACCCACAGTGCCACAGGGCTACTGCTCCCTGTGCAAGAATTCACATCTAAATCAAAAGAAAAACAAACTAGTTGATTATGAATTAAAGAATGGATATGATATTCCAGGTCCAGTAAAAACAGACTGCAGGCATGTGAGTCTCATTAATCCCTTACACCTACTTGGTCATGCAAAAAAAAAAAAAAAAAAAGAACTAAAAATTCAAAGTCACCAAAAAAATTCTGCTTCTATTGCTCAAGAGTTTTAGCCTGGTTTTGGTGTATGATCACATACCTGAACTGATAGCATGGCTCTACTCATCTGTCAAGCTAAGTGAAGATGGCATAGTACCTTAAAACAACAGGACTAAACTACAAAAGCAAGCACATTAAATTTAAACTTGAGGATTTTACAAACAGTGACTAGAAGACTTGGTTTTGAAATGTTAATGATCAAACAATCACATCAAATAAATTTCTACCACCAACCTTTTACAAATTAGTCTTTTGAATGTAGAAACTTCCTAAAAGAAGAAACGTAAATTTTTCTAATAATCTAAACGCAGTTTCATTTTGAAGCACATGCAATGTTATCATCAGATACCATTAATTTTAAGCATTTTGATATTGCACAATTGAGTATCCTGGAAGAGGGCTGTATGGAAGATGCACATTACCATACTTGACCAATGCTGACCTTTCTCCTTGCAGCTGAAGTGAAAAGTTTCCTGGTGTCCCTTCCATGGAGTCTTCACTTCCTGATCTGCTGGTATGTTCATTACAAATTAATTGTCTACTCTCATCATTAAATGATGTGCACAACTTTTGTTCTGCTAAGCAGTTATTATTACTTCTGTCAAGACTATTCATCATCATAGTTGGCTCTTCAAAATCAAGTTTCATTTCATCTGAAACAGTCAAAAAGAACACATTTTGTTCAAGTGTTATTAATTACTGCTTGTCGTGTTACATTATCAAAATTTGCTTGTATCAATTTAAAAGCTGAGAAAGCTTAAGACTATTAAGAGTAAGGTAGTCAGTGTCTTCTTATGAACAGTATTTCTTAAAGTCTTTTGGGGTTGTGTTTGAAGTTTTAATATTTCATCTCCATGATTTCCCTTTTACAAATAGGTGGATTGTACCTGGTGAAAAAAAGTGATTGTATTTCAGGACCTGAATATTATGAAGGAACTCAGGAAAAAGATAGCTGTTAATCCTGTAGCTTCTATGTACATACAAGAAGAACCTCCACAAATAAAACCCCTCACATAACATTTGCATGATCCCAAAAGGGAAGAGACCAAGGCAGGTTACAAATACACCAGCTTCTCAACTTCTTCAATTAGTAACATCAGCTTATTAAGGCTATATGAAGTGACACATTATATAAAGATATATTTATAGAATAAATACATAAAAATGAAGTAAACTTCAGTAGGTAAAAAGTGAAATATTCAGTTTATAATGAAAAGTAACAATCCTGGACAATGTAAGAACTGCCATTATAAATCAATCTTCTGAAATAAAGACAAAGTCCCAGCACACTTCATTATAAGCCAACACGCAGGAAGCCAAGATGCCATTTCCCATCTTCAAGAAAATTACTTTTAAATCCCGCATTTGGTGACCTTTATTAAACCTACACTAATGAAACTCATAACAACAAATACAATGCAGTTGGAGGCCTGTCAAGACATATAATTCCTTTTTATTCCTCCTTTTAGGCTCAATAATCCATCAGGGAATCGCCTTAGATGATGGCATCTCATTATCTCTTCAAGCATACCAGCATTTAAGGTTAATTTTACTCACTGATGACAACTTTCAGTAAAATTCCATTACTTGGAAACCTATAGGAAGAAGAGGCACCTGAGCAGTTTTCAACTCATTTTCAGTAGTGCAAGCCAGCATCATTTTGGGAAACCAGAGTTTCAAAACTGTCTTAAACACATTTAAATACTTTCAGAATTCACACTGAAAGGACACACAAATCCTTTAATGTATTAATAATTCATGTAATTACCAATATTAAAACCCATCATGCAGTAATCTTTATAGTAAATAGTAGGTATCAAAACATTCTTACTCTGATCCAGAGGAACCACCTTAGCAGAAAATAAATCTTTCAGAGAAGTTGCTCTAAATAAGCCTTTGCAAGCTCTGCTGACTTTTCTAAGCTCTGCAGCATCAGCAGGAGGTGTTGGATGGAAAACAGAAGAAACTTCATCTTTTTTTTCAGAAATGATTACTACTGGTTTCTGTGACAAAAATAAAGAAGACTTTAAAACAAAAGCACAGATAATTTATTTTTCATTTAAGTAAAAAATAAAAAAAAACAAATCCACATAACTTCCAACAAAGGTGCTCATTAAGAAATTTTCATATCCTGAATCTAATGATATCATTCCACCAAACAAACCAGATGTCTATACCATTATTACCACAGAAAGCCAACATTCAGGGGTGCAGAAAACAAAACCTAGCTTGAGTAGAACTCAGAATTATTTAGTCCTCATAAGTACTCATTTAACTACATCTGCAGCAAGCTTATTTATCAAAGAAAATATTGTGCCAATGACTATTGCTAACAATTCTAGAGATACATCTATGCTTTGATTTGCTTTTGAGCATTAAAACAGTATCTCCAAAGCACTCCAAATATGTTCACATCACATGTACTACTTTCTGTCACACTGAGACAAATCATGCAGATCCAGAAACATGAAAGTCCTAGTTTTATGTCAGTGTCTTGCATCTTAGAGAAGGTGAACAAGTCCCTGAATCTCTAGTGTCAAGCACTTGTTGTGTCCTTGACCTACATAAAGTACTGACCTCTAATATCAATACCAATTTCCTTAAAATAAAGAACCCACTAAAAAGTCTCCAGCCAATACTTCACAGTTCTCCATACTATTAAGGAGCCAGCAGGTGAGACTGACTACTTAAAACCACCATAATTAATACGGACTCTTTAATTTACAGTGTATTAACTTATATCCATTGATAAAGCAAAAAAAAAAAAAAAGTAGGTTTTGCATTGGTCTGTAGTTTTCTCTATTTTTTTTCCACTTGCCAAAATACATGAAAATTTAACACCAGTCAAATCCAAACAGTTCTTAAATGCAAATGTAGATATACTCAATCTAAATAGAAGTATGTTCAGAATTTTTTAAACTTGATTCATGTAAATACCTTCCCTTATCCAAATTACTAAAGTATAGAATTTCTTAGATATTTCCCCTAATTTCCTAAAGAATTTCCTAAGGGTTCCTGTCAGGAAAAAGCAATGTATACAACAAGCACACTTAATTGCTATAGCATGCTCTGTTATCTTTGGTAGTAAACAAACAGTCGTGACTTAATCTTATATTTAAAGAATAAATATAAAAAAACTGTGAAAGAGCAGATACACTTATAAATTGAAAATAATTCACAGCTTTCTCAGAGGGAGAAAAGTGGTTCCTAAAGGACCTCTATCTGTTTAGAAATAAAACTACAATCACAATATTTATAGAAATGTAAGCCAAATAGAAAGCAACCTAGTTACCTTCAAGTTACTGTTCACAGAACCACAGAATAGATGAGGCTGGAAAGGACCTCTGGAGGTCCAAGCCCTGTATTCAACTACAGCCACCTAACCTCAGTTGCCCAGGACCATGCCCAAGAAGCTTTTGAAGATCTCTGGGCAACCTATGCCAAGGCCTCGTCACTTCACAGCGGGAAAACTGTTTCCTGAGGTTCAGAGGAAACCTCCTGCGTCCCAGTTTGTGCCCTCTGCCTCTGGTCCAGTCACTGCAAAGAGGCTGGTCAGATCCTCTTTGCACCCACCTTTCAGATATTTACATCCATGAATAAGGTCCTCCCTTGGTCTTCTCCAGGCTGAACATTCTCATCTCTCCCTGATCCTTCATCACCTTTGGGGCCATTCATCAGATTCTCTCCAGTTGCTCCATGTCTTTCTCATACTGTGGAGCCCAGAACTGCATACAGCACTCCAGGTGTGGCCTCACCAGTGTTGAGTAGAGGGGAAGGATCATTTCCCTCAACCTGCTGCCAACACTCCTCCTAATGCAGCCCCAGATACCATCAGTCACTTTCCTAACAGCCAGGGCACACTGCTGGCACACGTTCATGCTCATGAACTTCACCTATTTTAGTAAACTTACACTGAAAGAAAGCTGACTCAAGTGTCAGTCTTCCAATTCTTGTTAGTGTCACTTTGAATCATAAAGCAATACGGCAATACGTAAGTAGTTTAAATTATTTTCCAGTTTCTTTTGGAGGAGAACTGACTTAAAAAGTCTCAGACTAATGTTACAACAAGCCTCCACTTTTCCCAAATGTCTTTAAACCATGTGTTTTCCTAACACTACCAAGACATATAATTTTATATCAGTACTGCAGGAGTTATTTCCAGAGTACTTACATGAGTCAGTGGACTTAGACGAACACCAGAATTTGGTCTTGATTCAGATGAATCAGAACTGGATGTATCAAGACTAATGAAGAAATGAAACATAGTTAGAATAAAGCAGATCCAGAGTTGTATGATCAGCTGTTTGTTTTAAATTGCATGCTTCTTCCCTTTGCCAGTGAATATGGGGAAAGGGAAGAAAGGAAAAGTGACAAGAGCACATCATGGTAACAAAACTAAACCTAGAAATAATTTTGAGGTAGTAAAAACTTTGTTTGAAAATGAGCATTTCAAACTGCAGGACCTAAAATTTCACATTTAAAAGATCACAGAAGGCTCTAAAAAAAAATCTAGCACATAGGTTATAGGAAACAAGCAAGCTTTCACACATTCTAGGAAAAAAGCTGAAGACTATCTCAATTAAAAGCATTCAATTGTCTCAAGAAAAGGTAAGTAACAGACTATTTTCTTATGCTATTCTACACATAAAAAACTAGTGTAGTGACTGCCTCTGGTAGCTCTAATCCAGAGAAACTTCCTGGAATGTAGATTAACACCAACAGTAAAGATCATTAGAAGAAGGCAAAGGATGTGATTAGGAATACAGATTAACACAGGGAAAATAACCACCGGAAGCATAATTAGAGAATCAAATCTCTTGCTGCCAAAGGATATTTGAAAACATCTTAAAGCCACAGTACCTAAAAAGTACAGGGCGTCTATTTTGAGGACAGCGTGAGGATTGAGACCCAGAAAGTTTCCTTTGCTCATCTGTAGGTGTAAATGGTCTTGGAGTTTTTACTGTTTGTAGAGCATCTCTGGCTTCATTTACAATCTCAGAACTGGTCCTAGGCTTTGCCACTGACAGCCAGTAGAATGGTTCTGCTTTTCTTCTGTTTTCAGTCTTTGAAGCTTGCATTCCTCTGCAAAATACTGCACAAGAAGAACACTGGAAAATATATGTGAATGGCACAAAGTATTATGTTAGTTTTAAATTACAAACTATTACTTCATCACTGGTTATGCTACCACAGTAAATCCTAGACAGTGCTGAAATATTGGGAAATAAAGTACACTGATAATGCATTTTCTCTCTATTCTTCAGTTTTGTAGGAAAATACTGAAAACCAGAAAGCATCTGACATGGAGGATCTACTGTCAGTTTTTTTACAGGATGCTAAAATACATCATTGTGCTTCATGGGCCAAATGTGGTCCTCTACAATTCCATAGAAAATCTGTTTCTTGACACTTGGTTTCTTGTGAAACGCCACAGCCAAAACAGGAATTCAATAATATGCTACAAAGAGACAGGTTTTTCCAACTGAGGAAAAACCTGATATTATTGAGCTTATAAAGGGCAGCTTACTAATATGTCAGAGGCATCATTATCAGTAACTGAAGCACAGTTATCAGCAACTGATAAGCAGAGACAAAGAAGAACAGGCAATCCATTTTTTCCCTCTGAAAGAAGCGACTCCCCAGCCCCAAGCACAGGCAAAGAAAGACAACACTAATGTAAGTTATAAACCCAAACTTCCAATCAGCATTCTGTCCTGCTGTAGTTTCTGGGAAATGCAGTGGGCAGTGACAGACTTGCTCCATCACCCCCTGGACCCACAACCCATCGCTATCATGATGCAGTTCTCTGTACGTATCATCCTTGTCATTTTACAGCAAACTCATCGTGAGTCTTACACCATGCAAAATTCCTCTTCTGCTTTCAAACTTACCTAAAAACAAAAATATGTTTCTGCACTGTGACTCAGACCATCTGGTAACTTCTATTCTCTTACACAGTTTATGACAATGAACTGACAGTAGATCAGACACCATCATCTGGGTTATTTCTAAACTATGGAGTAAAAAAAATAATCTTATATCCTTAGTTTCTTAGTTCAATTCTTACTTTTCTGCAGTCTAACTTTTTCAGCTGCTTCTTCTTTCTTCGAGAGCCTGCACATTCTGGTACTGTCTGTCATTGTTGCACACCCAATGTAAAATTGGATAAGGAGAACTGCACCAACTCTTTCACCAAATGATGCATAATTGAAAAAAACTCAGGAACAGATCAAAAGCCTGAGAGTATCAGTGTTTTTAATATTAACTTAATACAAGTAATATATTAATACTAATATATTACTTGTTTTCACTGTGACTGAATTTTGTTCTCTATGCTCCTTACTCTTCCCTCTATTACAATGTGATTAAAAAAACAGTAAGGAGTAAGGAGTTCCACTGCACCTGTCTGTTTAGAAAAACCTATACAGTCAGTTCTCACTGGGAAAAGCAAGGTAGGCTATCATTCCCCATTCCCCCAGCTACTGGAAGCCAGAATTTTGATCTTAAGTGGAAGGTCTTCTCTGTAGGCCTTATGTGTCTGATACAGATGACAATGGTCCTGTGCAGGGCCAGGAGCTGGACTTCATGATCCTTGAGAGTCCCTTCCAACTCAGCATATTCTGTGATTCTGTAATTTTGCTCCCCAGTCCCAGCAGGAAACAGATAGAGGGAAGACTGCAATGTCAATGGGGACAGCATAACTGGTACACACATATCTTGTCCCTCACTACTGTCACCATTTCCCAAGTAGCCTTTAACTTGCACAAGTGAAGAGCTCCTCTCTGACTCTCTGCTGGGAGGTAGGAGAGTGTCCACAGCAGTGTCTGAAAAGCCGTACTTGGGCTCTTGTCTTTATTCCCCAGTTGTTTACTCCAGAAGTCTGGTCTTTGCTGCACAGGAAGATTTTTAAGCAGTAGAGAGCAGTACAGGATCCACACATTAGTCCCAGCAATGTCCAGAAGTGAGACAGCTGTACTCTCACAGCTCTTAGTTCAATCAAGATTTGAGAAGCATGGCTGACTACATCAGATATGGCACCACAATGGCTCTGCCATCCCACACTGCCTCTGCCATCCTCTTTCCCATCTCAAGACCAGTGTCCTTTAATTGCTAGGGTGCAGAGTGGGTGTATTTGCAATCACTAAGTACAGTGAGGAAAAGCCCTGTATTCAGGCTATGAACATTCTGCTCTCTGACATCCAAATCCATGTTCTGTCTGCCCTAGCAAATCTCTAGTACAGTTAGCACACAAATGCAGGTTTAGCAAGAATCCCAGAATCACTGAGGTTGGAAGAGACCTTTAAAATCATCAAGTCCAAAGCCAACCCCGCACTGCCCCTGTAACCCCCTAAACCATATCAACCACTGCCAGATCCTCTTAAACACGCCCAAGGCTGGAGACTCCATCACTTTCCTGGCCAACCTATTCCAGTGCATGGCCATCCTTACAGTGAATTTTCTTTTTCTAATACCTAATCTGCATCTCCCCGTCTCAGTTTAAGGCCATTTCCTCCTGTCCTTTCACTGCAGGCACGGTAGAAGAGCTGGGCCCCACCTCACTACACCCTCCTTTCAGATGTAAACAACAGCTATTATTAGACATAGCTCTCATTAACAGAAACTTACCAATCACAACTGATGCACTTTCACCCCGGCGAAATTTTGACGCAGAGAAATCGCTACCAAAGAGAAACAAGAACGAAATTAAGAGAGATGAGTTCTCAGCGGAGTGAGGTTTCCAGGGCAGCCGTGGGACAACACGTCCCAGAGGAAGCCCCCAAATAAGCAGCACCTGTGGAGTAAACGCTGTCCCAACCCACACCCGGCAATCGCGCCTCCCTCCCGAGCACGGCAAAGCTGCCGGGAAGCGGCACAGGGATTATCAGTCTCGGGCCGCTTTTCAAAGCCTCCCGCCCGACTTACCGCACAGTCCGGCCCTTCGCCCCCGCCCGGCCAGGCGGCACCCCCAGCGACGAGCGCTACGGCCGGCGGGGGCAGCGGGCGCTGCCCGGGGGACTCGGTCGGGACCCGCCGGCGCCTCCGCAGGGCCCAGCCTCGCTCGGCCGCCCGCCGTTCCCATAGCAACCGTACGCGGGGCCGCCCGGGCACCCCGGGGCGCACGCGCCAGCACCTGCGGGCGCGTGCGCGGCGCGGCCGCTGCCGGGCCGGGATGGCGAGCCCGGATCCCGGGGATGGCGAGCCCGGATCCCGGGGGTGGCGTGCCCCGATCCCAGGGATGGCGAGCCCAGATCCCAGGGATGGCGAGCCCCGATCTCAGGGATGGCGAGCCCAGATCCCAGGGATGGCGAGCCCAGATCCCAGGGATGGCGAGCCCCGATCTCAGGAATGGCGTGCCCCGATCTCAGGGATGGCGTGCCCCGATCCCAGGGGCGGTGCCCATGCGGGCTCCTGCCGCGGCGCTGTCCCGCAGCACTCTGCGTTCTGGTGGAGAGCTGTCCCCGTGGGCAGTGCTGGCCCGCGTTCATGGACAGCGTGGTGGCGGCTGGCACAAGCCAGGGCACAGCTGGCAGAAGTTACTGGGGTGACCTGCTGCTGTTGCCAATTTGGGGACGCTAAACACAGACATGGGGCCCGGTTTAGACAGGAGGTGTTTTTTGTTCTGTTCAGGGTGCAAGGTGAAAGTGTTACACAAATCAACTCAGATTCTCAAAAATTTACGGAATCACAGAATCGGTTGACTTGGAAAAGACTTCTGAGATCATCGAGTCCAACCTATGGCTGAACATCACCATGCCAACTAGACCATGGCACTGAGTGTCATGTCCTGTCTTTCCTTAAACTCCTCCAAGGGTCAGTAACTCCACCACCTCCATGGGCAGTCCATTTCAATTACACTAAATACACATTTTAGCAAACAAATCACAGTTCATTGGAAAATTCTCCTGTTGGTATTTAACCTTTATTGGTTTAACGATTTTCCTGCTTCTTATGCTAATTAGTCCTCATGCTCAGTCTTTCTCTTCTTTTGAGTTGGTGGGATTCTGGAGTTGGTGGGCAGTGGTGGTTGAGTCTCCACCGTGGCTGGAATCAAGAGGCTGTGAACTGGCACTGATTCCTTGCATTATAAAGGGCAGGGGACCTGTGGCCAGACAGGTGACAAAAGACACAGCAAGTGACAATAGACAGGTGACACAGTAGGAGCTGAACACTCACAGGATAACCCCAGACTGCTGGATAAAAGCCCCGGTGAGCCTCTGTTCAGGGTCAGTCCTTTAAAGCTATGATGCCGTTTCACTGATAAGGCAAGACTGTTTCCCAACCCCCTTCTCATTCTCTGTAACTCTCTGGGTGAGTCGCTGGCTATTTCTGACTCTTTGGATGTCAGCATAATTGCAATATCTTCTCTCTGAGCTCAGATTTGCAGGTTCAAAATGGAGACATTGAAAGTTTTCCAAAGTAAAAAACCAGGGTCTCAGACATGGTGTAGCAGCAGCCACAGACTGCTGTCCTGTGCCTGGGTCACCGGTCAGGCAGGGAAGGTTGGATTGCTCACATTAGTGGTTCCCTGGCAGGGCAAAAGTGCTGTCACATCTCCTCCTGTTCCCTGGAAGGCCAAAAGATGGACATTTTCACATTGGCTGTAGCAGAGCTTCACACACATGGGTCCCACAGGCCAGATGGCTTTGTGGGAGTGGCACAAAAGTCACTTGCAGTGACTTCCCCATGCTGCCTCCTGGCAAGGTCTCACCAAAAATGCATCCACCTCCAGGTTTGGGTATGTTGGCCAGGTGAACCAGACGCTCCCTGAACAGCTCCCCGCATGCCTCCTGCTATTGCAATGAGTAATGTGATCACAGCCTGTATCAGAAAATCTCCAGACATGTAATAACAGCAAAGACAGGCCTTTTGTGGCAAGTGGGTTGTTTGTGACTGACTTTGTTCGCTATCTCTGAATGCATTTTGAAATTTATCTAAAAACTGCTGCAGGAGCGTAGTTGTTACCTCTGCAAATAATAGAAAAAAACAACAAATACAGCTCCATCTGACCAAACTTCTTCCTTTGTTCCTTTATTATATACTTCAGATATATATGAAAGCACTCCCCAAATAAATTCATCCTCTATATATATTTATATGTAAATATCTATAAATCTCTTACTAGCTTGAAGTTCCTATTACTAATCGCTTGCTAATGTAACTTTTACTTTTTCATGTTTGCTACATAAGAACCTTGTGGATGTTTTAAATTTAATTTGTCTTTCTGATTTTTATGATAAGCTTTGTTATGCCACTCTCTTCTAGGAAAATACCCTCTTCCAGTTCCTTTTTTGATTCTGACAGGCATTATGATAGCAGTAAAAAGATCTCCGTGTGTAACGCTACCTGGTTTACATAACACATGCCATTATCTCTGCTAGCTTCTACTTTATCTCTAATTATTAGGCATCTAGTCCTCTTTCTTTGGCAGCCAAGTTCAATACCTCAGAAGTAATGAAAACCTTGTTATTATTGTACCCGCTTTTCTCTGTATATTCTTCTTTAAAAGCCAAAAGAATGTGTGTGCGTGCATGTATGTATGCTATTTTCAGATCATTCACAGTTAGCTCATTTTCTGTTACTTTCTTCTGAACCTTTCTTTTATTGAAATAATACCAGGGAAGTTTCACAGAAAATTGTGTAGATCTGTTTCCTGCTAAAGCCAGTTTGAATTTCTTTTTACCATTATCATTCTTTAAAAAATTTTTAAATCCACCCAGTTAAACCCACTAAGCCTCCTTTCTTGGCTTCTTCTTTAATCCTTTTCATATGCACATTATTTCTCCTCTCTATTTTCTAGGTCATCAAATTGAAGAGTTAAATTTTATTCATTTTCTGAGTTTTGGCAATTATAGCAAATATTTCTTTTGTGATCTCTCTGCTATGTATCAATTGTTATAACTTTCTCACTTAAATCCTTTCCATCCTGTGCTTTTTATTGAAGGAACTCTCTCAGCACCTCTTTTAAATGCAGGTACATAATTAAATCTTGTTTGCAGTAACAGTGCTTTAGGATGGAAATATCATCAAAGCCTATAAGTTGAGGTCTAGGTAGCTAGTATTGGTGAAGTGATTGCCAAGATAAAAGCAATGTGTTCTGAACATTTCTGCCTCACTTATGAAAAAATATTCAATGAGAAAGTATTCAGTTATGTAATATTCATTCAAATTGCTTTTTAAAAAGAAATTGTTTTATTTGAAAATCATGAAAGGGATTTTGTGCTGGTATCCAGTCTCAGGTTTTGTTCTGGCTAACTTAAATCTGTCTAGAGATGAAACTTACCTGAATATCCAAACATACCAGGCCTGTATTTCAGTGCAATTCAGAATTAGTTAACAGTGTTAAGCACTTTACCTGCTGAGTGTTCATTGACCACATTTGCTGCTTCTAGCTGCTGACCTGTAAAAGCAGCCAGTGCAATTTGAGCAACACAAGAGGCAATGCAGCCCCCATTTGTCTGTATTTCTTTCCTCTTTTTCAAAATAAAACAGCTCCACCCCCAATCTGGACAAAAATCTTCCTGTCATATTCAACCTTGCATAAACCATCTGGTATGTGCTGTTAAATAAGCTCAATGTTTTGTATCACTTGTAGATCATTACAAAGGCAGGTGGAGCTGTTCATTTTATAGCAGTTAGAAGCAACTCCTATATCAAGTGGCCTAATAAATCTTAATAAAGCAAGTTTATGAAGACCTCCATTCCATGCAGCAGGGAAATCTGTCACAGGAAAGAGTGCTGGGTGTATGATGGGTTGATTAGTTGGTGGATAAAGGGAGAGCAGTGTACGCTGTTTCTCTTAAGTAAGGCTTTTGATTGTCTCCCATTACACCCTGACAGACAAACTGATGAAGCATGGGCTATTAAGATGGATATGGAGCTGAACCTAAATTTGGCAGAACTGCAGGGCTCAAAGAGTTGAGATTGGCCACACAAAATTCAGCTGGGGACCACTCATCCTCAGGGTGCGCCCTCGGCTAGTTTACAGATGATATAAAACTGGATGGAGTGACTGGTACATCAGATGGTTGTGCTGCCATTCAGAGAGACCCAAACAGGCTGGAGAACTGGGCCAAGAGGGATCTCAAGAAGCAAAACAAAGGGAAATGTGAAGTCCTGCACCTCAAGAGGAATAACCCCATGCACCAGTACATGTTGGGGACCAGCTGGCTGGAAAGGAGCTTGGCAGAAAAGGACCTGGGGATGCCAGCTGACAAAAGTTGAACCAGCAACGTGCCACTTGCTGCAGAGGTGGCCAACAGCCTCTTGGGCTGCATTAGGAAAAGCACTGCCAGGAGATAGACAAAAGTGATCCTTTCCTTCTGTGCAGCACCAGTGAGGCCACAGCTGCAGCGCTGGGTCCAGTCATGGTGTCCCCAGTACAACAGGGACATACTGGAGTCTGGAGAAGGGCCACTAAGGTGACTAAGGGAATGAAGCATCTTTAGCATGAGAAAAGGCTGAGAGAGCTGGGACTGTTCAGCCTGGAGAAGAGGAGGCTCTGGTGGGAACTTATCTGTGTGTATCTGAAGGAAGGGTGCAAAGAAGATGGAGACAGACTTCTTGGTGGTGCACAGTGAAAGAACAAGAAGAAAGAAGGCACAAATACATGAAACCCCATTTAATCATAAAACCAAATTTCTGAGATGAGAATGGTTATCTCTAAGCATCTCAAGCACTAAAAGAGGTTTTTCTTAGAGCTTGTATTGTCTCCATCTTTGGCAATATTAAAAATTTGATTGAAAAAGCCCCTGAAGAACCTTTTCTAGTTAACTGCTTTGAGCAAGGGGTTTGGACTAGGTGATCTCCAGAGATTATTTTTCAAACCTTAAATATTCTATGATAGATGTAAATTTTAAAAAAATTCTTAAAATCTTATTCAGATTTGGCTGAAATTTTAGATTTTGGAAATTGCCATGATCAATCTCTAGCTTGCATTGCTTAGTGTGGTTTGACCACTGCATCCTGCAAACTCTGCCCCTTACCCTCTCTCTGACCAGCAATTGATTCCCTCCATGCTCAGTGCTCAACCCT